TTCCAGGATCTCTGTCATGTTCCATTGTTTTTGTTTATTTCTACACCAAAACCACACTGTTTTCATTATTATGGCTTTGTAAGATATCTTTGTAAGATATACCTATATCTGGTAGGGTAAGTCTCTCTTCTTGGCTCTTTTTAAAAATTGACCTAAGTAATAGTAGACTTATTCTTCCGTATTAATTTTAGAAAAAGTCTTAGGAGTTTCTCAAAAAAAAAATCTTCTAGACTTTGTATTAGAATTGCACATCTAGTTTTTAGGTTGGGAGAGGTGAGAGGGATTTTGATATGAAGATTCTGGAAGACAGAGAAGAGGAAAGAAGCCTGTGTGTCTGGTTCTGATTCTGCCTCTAACCTCCCATCTAGCCAGGTTCATTCATTCAACAGATACTTACTGAGCATCTACTATATAGTAGACACTTATTCCCTAGGTAGGAAGAGAAGACCATAAGCAAATATTTTTACCAAAAAATGAGAAAATGTGAGGCACTGAGTGCCATGACGAAAGTGAACTGATAATGTGAAAAGGCAGAAGTAAAGGAGGCTACTTGAGGCAGAGAGCATAGGGAGGAGGACCAGCACCCTCTGAGGGGCACTGTTTAGGTTGAGATGGGACTCGCATGAAGGGGCCAGCCATGCGAACAGCCGAGTACAGAGCATTCCTGGCAGTGGGAACAGCAAAGGAGTGGAGGTGGGGGCAGTGCACAAACTAACGTGCAAAGGAACATCTGCGGGGCTGAAGCTCAGCAGGCAGGGGAGTGGTCAAGATAAGATCAGAGAGTTCAGGGGCCAGCCTGGTGGCACAGTGGTTAAGTGCGTGCGCGCTCCGCTGCGGCATCCCGGGATTTGCAGGTTTGCGTCTCAGGAGCGTACCACTTGTCAAGCCATGCTGTGGCGGTGACCCATATAAAAGTGGAGGGAGGTGGGCACGAATCTTAGCCCAGGGCCAGTCTTCCTCAGCAGAAAAAGAGGAGGATTTGCATCGGATGTTAGCTCAGGGCTGATCTTCCTCACAAAAAAAAAAAGTTCAGATCCTGCAGAACCTTTTGGACCACTAAGTCTGGATTTTTTCCCAAAGGCGACAAGCAGCTTTTGAAGGCTTTTATGTAGGGGAGTGAGTGACCTTTGGTTGTGCTGTTAACCACCTTCCGCTTCTTCTCCAGCAAAAAAGGCAGAACCTGTCCCCGCTGTGCCTCATCCCCACGGTGACATCTCCCCGAGAGGAGCAGCAGCTCCTGGCCAGCACCTCCAAGGTGAGGCCCCTGAGCCCTGAAGGGTGGAGGCTGGGGGCCTCTCCCTGCAGCCTGACCCCCACCCTTCTCCATCCTCTCTCCCCCAACAGCCCGTGGTGAAGCTCCTGCACAACCGCAGTAACAACAAGTACTCCTACACCAGGTGACCACCTCGGGGCGGGGAGGTGCATTGGGTGGAATCCTGGGCTCAAGCACAGCTCTGCTTCTGGCTCAAGGGGAGGGCTATGGCCACACACAGAGGTGAAAAGAATACCTACCTGGATGCAGATTCCAGCTCTGCCACTTACTCACTGGGTACTTTGGACAGGTCATTTTCACTTGTGAGCTTCAGTTTTATGGTCAGTAAACAGGTTCAGGTGAGGATTAGATGATAATGACTAGCATTTACTAAGTGCTTATTTTACAACAGGCATTGCACTAAATGCTTTACATATGTTTACTCACGTAATCCTCGTAGTTGTTTCAGGTAGGTACTTTTGTGATCTCCATTTTACGGATGAGGAAATTGAGGCACCAGGAGGTGAAGTAACTTGCCTAGTGTCACTCAGTTAAAAAGCAGAGCTAGGATGCCAAGTGAGGCAGCCTGGTTCCAGAGCCTGCACTCTGGAGGTAGTGCAGAGGTAGCCACTCTGCTGTGCTGAGATTTGCTCAGCAAATGCTGCTTCCTTTCTGAGGCCTGCTTAGCCTGGCCCCAGGGTTGGAGGAAGCTCCCTGCTGGGCACCAAACTCCTGGGCAGGACCAGAGTGCTGGGTATCTGGGCCCCTATGTGAGGGGGAACAGAGGGAGGGAAGCCAGTTGTGCTGAGGCCTCCTGGCCCCTTGATCCTCAGCACTTCAGATGACAACCTACTTAAGAACATCGAGCTGTTTGACAAACTGGCCCTGCGCTTCCACGGGCGACTGCTTTTCCTCAAGGATGTACTGGGGGATGAGATCTGCTGCTGGTCTTTCTACGGGCAGGGACGCAAAATCGCCGAGGTGTGCTGTACCTCCATTGTCTATGCCACAGAGAAGAAACAGACCAAGGTCAGAAGGGATTCAGGGCCTGGTCAGGGAGGGCTGTGGTGGTGGGCAGGACCAGGACCAGGCAGCTCAGCAGATCAGGCAGGGATAAGTCCATCACTGGGAGTCAGGAGCTGGAGTTCCAAGTTCTGGGGTCTTAGCTGTGTAACCTTGGGCAAGTCCCACTGTGGGTCTCTGTTTCTCTACCTCTGAAATGAGGGTGTGGGATTAGAGTGGGATTCTTACCCTAGGCCAGTTGGGTTTCAAGGCGATCTTGAAATAGTATGCAGGTTTGGGAGTGTGTATACGTTTTTCTGTATAGAAGGACCATAGTTGTCCTTAGACTCTCTGAAGGGTCCATGACTCAGAATAGATTCTTAAAGCCTCAGGACCTTAGAACACACAGATCTCTTAGAACACACTGAGTTTGTAGGTCCTGAGTCATTAACATGGGAATCATCAGCAGATGCTTCCTGAGCCCCTGCTCTGCACTAAGCTCTGCACCAGGCTTGAAATCAAGGTGAATGAAATGCTGAGTAAAGTACAAGCTCTCTGACATGTCATCTAGCCCCTGATGATCTTATCAGCCTGGTCCCTTCTGACCTTGATATGAAAGATGGGCCTCAAAGATCTTGCACGCCTCTAAGCACCCAGTGCTATTTCACACCTCCCTCCCTTTGCACACGCTCTTCCCTCTTGGAATTATTTTTCTTCATCCCTGTCTGCCTAATGAACTTGTGCTTAATCTTTTAAGACCCAAGCCAGGCATCAGTTTCTTTGGGACATCTTTGCTCATGAACTTTCAATCGAACAACGCCAGACAAAGTTGGTCATACTCCCATCTTAGCTAACCATAGTATTTATTGTAGTCTGCCAAGGGTGGAGAGTGGGGGAGTGTTTACTTCAGCAGCAAGGTGTTAGTTTCTTAAGGGTAGGGCTGTATCTTTTTTTCCCTATCTCTAGCACTAGCCAGGCTCTTATCATACAATGGAAGCTAAGAGACTTTATTGAGTGCATGAATGAATGAATGAATGTCCCAGCTTCCAAAAAGCTTCCTCTGTAATTGGGAAGACAAGAAGATAAACCAATAGTTAGAATGCAGCTTGTTGGGCCTGCCTGGTGGCATAGCCGTTAAGTTCACACGTTCTGCTTTGGTGGCCTGGGGTTCGCCAGTTCGGATCCTGGGTGCAGACCTACTCACCACTCATCAAGCCATGCTGAGGTGGTGTCCCACAGAGAGGAACTAGAAGGACCTACGACTAGGATATGCAACTGTGTACTGGGGCTTTGGGAAGAAAAAAGAAAAAGAGGAAGATTGGCAACAGATTGTTACTCAGGACCAATCTTCCTCAAAACAAACAAACAATATATTCATAAACTTCCATGAGAAGGAACACACACAAAAAAAGTGAAATGTTTAAAAAAAAAAGAATGCAGCTTGTTAAGAGTTATGTTAGTCATATCCCTCCAAGCCACACGAGGGGAACCGCCAGTCCCCTTTTCAGTTCATCCCTTTCTATTCTCTCTTCATCACTCTGCCTCGTTGCATTGGCCTCCTTGCTGCTGATCTTCAAATAATACACTAAGAGCTCTTACACTTGCTGTTACCTCTTCCCAGACTGCTCTTTCTCTAGTTGTCCACCTGGCTCCTTCCCTCCCCTCTTTTGGCTGTTGATTGAATGTCATCTTCTCAGTGAGGCCTTCTCTGAACTCCCTCTTGGAAGTTGTAACATTCCTGGACATGGCCATCCCCACCCACTTCTCCTGCTGTATTTTTTCCTGTAACATTTATCATCATTATTAGTTTATATTTTATTGTATGTCTGTGCCCTCCCCCTAGAATGTGAACTTTCTGCAGATCTTTGTTTGTTTTGTTCACTGCTGTATTCCCAGTGCCTAGAACAACACCTGGTACAGTGCACTCACTCAGTAGATATTTGTCAAATGAAAGGATACACCAAGAGACTTGGCAGCAAAGGAGAGAAAGCAAATAACTCTGCCTGACTTCAGAGCTGGACCTTGAAGTTTAGTGTGACTTTGCTGAGTAAAGAAGCTGCAGAGAGGACAGTCCAGGCTAAAGAACCTGTGACTGCACAGGCTAGGAGGTGTGCCAGTACAGGAGCAGCTAGGCAGGGGGAGGCTGTGTGACTGGGCCAGAGGGTGGGAGCTGGGGGTTGCTGGCCTTTTGCAGGTGGAATTCCCAGAGGCCCGGATCTTTGAAGAGACCTTGAACATCCTGATCTACGAGACTCCTCGGGGTCCAGACCCAGCCCTCCTGGAGGCCACAGGGGGTGCAGCTGGAGGTGGCGGGGCAGGCCGAGGGGAGGATGAAGAGAACCGAGAGCACCGTGTCCGCAGGATCCATGTCCGGCGCCACATCACCCATGATGAGCGTCCTCATGGCCAACAGATTGTCTTCAAGGACTGACCTTTGACCTTTCTTCCTGTTTTCCTCCTCCCACTGGGACCCAGTCCCTCTCTAGCTTTTCCTCCCCTTCCCAGACTTTTGCCCCGGCTTTGCTGGCCAAGTCGTGGGTCTTCCTTCTGTCCCTTCACTGCATGATACAGTTCACTTTGGCCCTTTTCCATTCATTCCCACCTCATTGCTAACAACACAGTACATTCCAGCCCCTCCCCTCAGTCAGAGCCCTTCAGAAGGCCTACATTCATTTCCTTATCCCCATCCTGGTCCTGCTACCTTCCCTCACCAGCTGGTTTAGAATGATTTAGAATTCCCTTTCTCTTTTTTTAGTACATTGTACATGGCAAAGTGTCAAGCCAGCCATTAATAACACCCACCACATTCTGAGCCGCCTCCTTACCATTGTGCAGGGTAGTTTGCCTGCCTCTTCCTTCCCCCACCATTCTCCCTACCTCCTTAACTTTCTACTAGGCTGACCTGGGCCTGCACCAGCTCAGCCATCTTCTCAATCTGTTTCATATTATTTATTTTAATTTTCTATTAAATTATTGGAATAAAGTTGAATTGAGGGTCTGGTGCTAGCTCCTGGGGAAAGGGCCAGGGAGATGGCTTGTACCTGGCTGGTTGGATGGGAGAAGACCTGAACTCCTGCCCCAAGCCTTTCCCTGGGGCTGGTAGCTGGGAAGAAAGTAGTCAGGAGTTAAGATTTAAAATCTGTATTTCAGTGTTTGCTGGCCAGTTCCCACCCTCAGCCCCACCCCAGCCCGTGCAATGGAGAGGAGCTCCTGGCTGCCACTCAAGCCATCCCTGAGTGCAGCATCTCTCCAGCCCGATGTCTGAAGGGAACACCTTCCTTCAAGGGTCTGGTGCGAAGACAAAGTCGAGGGCCTGGCGCTCGGCCCCAGCCACGTTGGGGTGCCAGAGATCCACGATGAAGACCACTCGAGGCCCATCTTCAGGGGAGCCTAGGGCACATGGGGACGAAGACAGGAGAGCAGCTGACATTAAGTACTTATCTGCCAGAGCACTCACCAAACTTTCATAAAAGCAACACTTGGTGAATAAGTGCCAGGCACCGTTCTAACCTTATGTGTGTTAACTCTTAATCATCAAAACAGAGTTAGTACCATAATTATTCCCATTTTATACAAAGTCACTGAGGCATAAAGAGGTTAAATAACTGCCCAAGGTCACACAGTGCCAGAGGTAGGACAGGAACCCAGGTGGTCCAGGTCTAGGGTCTTGTGCTGTTAACCACTTTGCTATGCTCCTACATTAATTTATTTAAGCCTTTCAGTCACCTGATCAAGAAGGCAGTTGCCCCATTTCACAGGTGATTGGAGAAGTTATGTGACTTGTTCAAGGTCATGCAACTGGAAAATGGTGGTGCTAGAAAAGGAAGCCAGTTGGGCCTGATGCTGCAGCCTCTAGTCTATTCCCCTTCACTCTTTAGTCCCTCATCCCCCCTAGCAGAATGGGAGCCCCATTACCATTATGAGCCACTGTGTGCAGGAAGGAATCATCCACCAGTAGACAGTGTCCCTCAGCCCAGCACTGGGGCTCACCCCCGACCACCAGCTCACAGCCAGGGGGGATCTTCAGGCCTGTGGAAAGAGACCGGGGTATCCCAACATTCCTGCCTCTGTCAAAGGGGCCCACCCCATTCAATCAGTAAGTAGATCTAAAGGTCTTAAAGGCCAGGGTCTATGCTGGTCTCTCCTTGCTCTCTGGAAGGTGATGCAAGTATAATTACAATATACTGTATGAAAGTATTGAAAGAAGTGCTAGGAGATGGGGAAATGCAGTGCAAAGCACAATCTGTTCTGTTTCAGAGAAAAGGGAAGGCTTCCTGGAGGAAGTGGCATCTCCTCTTGGGCTTCTGACAGTTTAACTCAAGAATCGACTATGTGCTAGGCCCTCTCTCCCACGAGGTATAAAACTGATGGCTCCATCCTGGCCGAAGGACCACACAATCGAGTGCTGTGAGAAAACTGAGCAGCCAACTGAAATGATGGGGAATAGGAAGACATCCCAGAGGAGGTGTGGCAATTGAAAGTGTCCTGAAGACTAAGGAGGAGTTTTCCAGGAGGTGATAAAGTGATAAGGGGTAAAGACATTCTAAGTTAAGAGTATAGCATGCGTGTGGCATCTGCTAAGATCAGCCAGAGGCCTTTACAATTTAGGGCACAGTGGGAGGGAAGGGGAGGAAGAGAACAGGTGGGAGATGAGGAAAGAAAGAATCTGGACTTCATCCTGAGGCCACTGTGCTTAGAAGTGGAGGACACATCCAACTGGTAGCATGGGAGATGATTTTAGGCAAAACAAGGTCATCGCGTTAAAAATCAGAAAACTGTTCTTTTCCATTTTCTTTCAATCTTTAAAGCATCAAAAAGAAAATTTCAGTTTGGTGCTACCATGACTTTAATACTCCACTAAGACTGCTGCCTTCTAAATGAAGAGAGCATAGGCTTCAGTCTCTGAGAGACTAGAGTATTTAGCTGGAATTTGTAAAGCTTTCTTTTTTTAAGTTTCAATTTGTTTTTATGAGTACTTTCTATTTAGGGCAAGTAATACTGATTATCATTGTTCTATAAAGATTCCTTTAAAATAAATCAGTAAAATAAAACGTGGGGAAAGTCAATATGAAGAAACAGCACAGGTGGTAAATGACTATGGCAAAGCTTATAAAAATGGTTTGCAGATTGTTGAAGCTCAGGAAATGCCGTGAAGATTTCTGAGGAGAAAGGCATGATCAGAACCACAGTGTAGAAGGCTCTGGTGGCAGGGCAGAAGAGAGTCTGGAGGGGGAATCATGGAGGCAAGGAAGTTGTCTGTAGGCAGCATCTACTTACCCAGATGACATCTGACCCGCGCATTGGTGGGCCCGCAGCGGCTCTCGAGCCGGGCCCCAGGCAGGAGGACGGAAAAGCCAGCATTGCCGAAGGTGTTGGCGCTCATAAAGCTCCGCAGCCCCCTCAGTGCCCGATAGGCTCCTGGGCACTGGCGGCAGTTGCTGGGTTGGCACCGGCCTGCTTGGTACAGCAGGAGCTGGTAGCACCCAGGGGCCAGGGGTGGGGACCAGCCCCGAGGCAGAGGGGTAGTCCCTGAGAAGTCGCAGCTCACAGCCCCAAAGTCCCGCAAAATGGCAGGGAAGCTGCTCTCCAGGAGCTCCACGTCATGCCGCTGGGCATCCCGTGGCACGAAGGGGGCTGAAGGCAGGTCTGGCAGGAAAAGCAGGCCTGGGCGCTGAATGCCCAGGACCCCTAGCCCTCCCCCAGGGCCTGGGCCACCCTGAGCTGCCCGCCTCACCCTACCCATCCCCGCCCAGGAGTAGCGTCTGGCATAGGCCCGAAGGCGACGGCTCACTAGGCCTTCTGTCCTGGGTCCTTCCCCAGGCTCCCCAGAGCTCCCTGGGCTAGGCCTGCCAGCTTCAGAGCATCCCCCAGGCCCACCACTGACACTCCCAGCCCGACTCCCATCCCCCAGGGCCTGCATGTCTTGGGAGCCCAGACGGTAGCAGTACCAGAGGAAAAGGGAAGTGAGGGCTCCAAGGAGCAGAGTAAGGGCTGAGGAGGCCAGGGGCAATGGCCATGCAGGTATGATGGGCAGGGAGGCCCTGGCCAAGAGGCCTGGGGCATCTTCCAGACCCCAGTTCCCCTGTCCCCCCAGTTCTCCTCCGGTTCCCTCCATGGCTGCTCCCTGGTTACCCCCTGGGCTGTTTCCCTTTCACGTTCCCACTCTTGGTTCTCTCTCCTTCTGAGGGCTTCTCTCCACCTTGTGTCTCCCTCTTTCTCACCTCCTTCATGTACCTCTAACTCTCCTTTCCCTTTCTTTCCTTCTAGCTTTCTCTCCTCCTACCTCTTCTTTTTCTTTGCAACTCTCTCCTCTTCCTCTTGCGTCCCCGCCCCCTCTCTTCTTTCTCCTTCCGGCAGTTTCTTCTCTCTCCCTCTGCCTCTCCTTTCTCCACCCTCTGTCTCCCCCTCTCCCTTCTTCTCTCCCCCCTCCACCCCCGCCCTTCTTTTCGTTCTTTCTCTTCCCCCCCTTTCCTTCTAGCTTCCCCAGACAGCAGTTCCTACCCCACCTGGACCCGCAGCCCCGGAACCCGCAACCAGTCGTCCTCCGCAGCGGCTTCTCTCGCTCCTTCCTCCCCTCCCCTCCTTCCTGCCCTCGCTTCTCACTCGACCCGACCCGCGGGTCCTGTCTCTGGCTCACCCTCTCTCTCCCTCTCTCTCTCTCTCCTACTCCCTCCTTCCTTGGCTCCCACTCACCCTGACGTCACCCCTCCCCACAGTCCTCTCAGCTTAGCTACCCCCACCCCCGCCCAGTGGCAGCCGCAATTCAGCCTTGGGGTGGGGGTGGGGGGGGTCGTCTCAAGATTTGCCTATCCCCCCGCCGGGCCTCGACGGGGCGCCACGTGGGGCGCAGGGGGCACCGTGCCAACCTCCAGCCGCCCCGCAATGCGAAAAGAAGGGGCGGGGCCTGAGGGAGGGGCGTGGCAAGCCAAGGGGCGGGGTGAGCGCGCGGACTGACGGACAAGGCCGGCGTTCGCGGACTGCGGACAGGGATGCCGCGGCCTGTGGGTCGGTCAGCCGGTCTCTCGACCAGTTGGCCTGTGACTTCCCCTCCCCCTTCGACTTCACAGAGCCAGCCCCCGGCGGGAGCCCGATTGATAGTGAAGGCAGCTTCAGCCAATCGCGCGGGGCGCCGGGGCCGGCCCGCTCAGGCGGGGCCGAGAAGAGCTGTCCGCTCGCCGGTGGTGCTGAAAAGGGCGCTCCAGGGGCGCTGTGAGAGACGCCAGGAGAAAAAAATCAAAGTTGAAGCCAGAGGGGTCTCCCCTCCCCAGATTCCGGCCCGTCATCCCTTAGACTTCTCACAAACGTGGAAACTTGCCATTCTCCTGGAGGAGGGGAAAGCCCATTCCACATGAGCTTCTGTAAAAGGAAAAGGGAAGTCCCATGGGGGGGTCTGGATGTGGGCAAGGGACATATTGGGGGGCTGAGCAGGCGCGAGCCCAGCTGTGCCGCCCCTTGGCACCCTGGGAAGAGGAGATTCAGATTCCAGATGTGCTGGAATCGCTGGGGGAGGGGGGCCTAATTACTGCTGGGACCAGAGTTTCCTTTGCCTCCCCCAGGGGCCGCGGGAGAGTGAGGATTACGGTCCTGGCTCATATGGTCCCTCCTTCCTCCATCTGCACTTCCTCCTCCTTCTCCGCCCCCCCCCCTAAATAAATCCCAGGCCCCTCCCTTCGCCCATCCCCAGGATCTGACGTGGGCTCGACACCTTTCTCAGCTTCTCCCTCCCGCAGCTCCACTGCCCGAGCTTCGGCTCTCCAGGTTCCGCAACCCCCTCCCCTCCTCACCAAGCCCCACTAGAACACGGTAGGGCCCCTCCTGATCCTCGATCCCACCCCAGGCCCCCGGAAGCTATTTTGCCTCTCCCCACTCCCCCAGCTTGGGGTCCAGCCAGCCCAGTGGACCCAGGCACCGGAGTAAGAAGGTAACCCAGACGACCCAGCCCCTTCGGCCTTCTCGGCCCCACCCCCTGCAGCCGGAGCCGCGCCCCCTCTTCCTCGGACCGAGAGCAGAGGACAGAAGAGATTGGGCTAAGGGGGGTGGGCTCTAGGCGCCCCCCCCAATTCTGCCCCTCCATCCCAAGGGCAGAGAAATTGTCTTCCTTGCTAACTACTGGCAGGAAAAAAAAAAAATTAAAGGGAAAGATAAAAGGAGACGGAGGAAAGGTGACAGCTAGATTATTTAGGAGGAGAGGAGAGAAATTCGTGTGAGTCGCCATGGGGACTCCCAGGGCCCAGCACCCGCCACCTCCCCAGCTGCTGTTCCTAATTCTGCTGAGCTGTCCCTGGATTCAGGGTAAGGACATGGGAGCATGGGGGTGGGCCCTGGGAAGGCCCCCAGCGGGGTCTTCTACCCTCCTTTCTTGAAACATCCTGGGCTTTCCGAGCTCCTGGGGGAGGGGAGGGGCATAGCTGTCCGGGAAAGGGTAAGCCAGGGCTTTCCAGCTTGTACCTGGAGCCCCTAATCCCCCATATTGAGAAGGTGGAGAAATGAATGAGGGGAGCTTTTAGCAGCGTCTCAGGGGTTAAATCCAGGAAGAAGGGCTGGGGAAGTTGTGGGGGGGATGTCTGCGGAGGTGGCAGAAGCACGCATGGCACCTGGGTGGGAGATGGAGGTGCTGGGAGAGATGCCAGTCACTGCACACACAAATGTTCTTGGACGTATGGACAAAGACAGATGAACAGATGCAATGCTCAGAAACCAGATATTTAGTCCCCCACTCTGACCCCTGGCCAGACTCCAGGGAAGGGGGCAGAGACTGCAGAGAGAGAGAGAGAGAGAGAGGGAGAAAACACCACACTGCAGAGACAGAAACCCGGAGAAAAAGCTGGGCACTGCGGAAGCAAGGGCTGGGAGGTGCTGCCAGACCCTCCGCAGAGCCCCAGTGTTGTGGGGAGAGCACCATTGAGGTGAAAATGAAGGCAGCACCGTTGCCCCTTCTCTGCCCTGCTGGCGCTGTCCAGGGTTCATAAGAGCCAAGGTGCTCACTGAAGGCCCACATGGCCTGGGAAAAAAGGAGGAGAGGAAAGTGTAGGAGTGTGAGGAGCAGCTGGGAGCCCCTCCTCCAATCTTGGCTCTCAGCCCAGCCTGGGACCCTCTGAGCTCCTGCAGGCCCAGCTGACTGAGGAGGGAGGAAGAGCTCTGGAAAAGATCTTTCTGGAGAAGGAAGGAGCGTGGGCCAGTGGAAGGGCTCACACAACTTCCTCTTCTAGGTCTGCCCCTGAAGGAGGAGGAGGCACTGCCAGAGCCTGGAAGTGAGACCCCTACAGTAGCCTCCGAGGCCTTGGCCAAGCTGCTCCATGGGGCCCTGCTGAGGAGGGGCCCAGAGATGGGCTACCTGCCAGGTGAGGCCCCCAGAGTGGCAGCAGTGACACAGAGGCAGAGGGAGGGACATTAACTCTGGGAGATGGGGAGCCAGGCCAGCGAAATTCAGAGGGAGACAGAGAGAGATGGTTAGACAGAGTCAAAACTGGGCATAGACAGTCAGAGAACCAGACAAATAGAGACAGAATGATGGAGAGACAGAGCCACACAGAAAAACAATCAGAGAGAAAGACAGATGGAAACTCAGAGAACCAGAATCAGAGAAACAGTGGGAGACATAGAAAGAGAGAGAAATGCAGAGACTAGTAGATCTAGAATTATAAAATCAGAAAGTGATAAGAATACTAAACTGAGATAGGGAGTTCCAGAGAGAGTAAAACAGAGAGAAAGGGGTAACCAGGAGAGGGAGCCAGATCTGAATGGAGAGGCAGAGAGAGAGGCTCAAGGAGACTGTCAGAATGGAATGGCCTGGGTAGAGAGGTTGAGAGGGGAAGAGAAGGGGGAGGGAGGGTGAGGGCAGACTGTGGAAGACTTGGGAGGAAGTGGGGAGTTTGGGTGGGGAAGAAGAGGTGGGGAGAGTCTGCAGCTTGTTGGGGAGGCCTTTTGGGTTCAGTGGGGAACCCCCAGTTTCCTTTAGCCCTGCTCCCCACCCAAGGCCCACCAATTTGCTCCTTCTGTGCCCTGACTTCCCTTGCACTGTCCCAGGATCTGATCCAGACCCCACACTAGCCACCCCTCCAGCCGGCCAGACTCTTGCAGCACCCTCCCTGCCGCGGGCCACTGAACCAGGGACAGGGCCTCTGACAACAGCCGTAACCCCTAAGGGAGGCAGGGGGACAAGCCCCACGGCGCCAGAGCTGCTGACCCCGCCCCCAGGAACTACGGCCCCGCCCCTTCTCGGCCCCGCCTCCCCAGGCCCGCCCCTTGGGCCTGAGAGAGGAGAGGAGGAGACCACGACCACCATCATCACCACGACAACTGTCACCACCACGGTGACCAGCCCAGGTGAGGCGATTGAAAGCGGATGGGGTAGTGTGCAAGAGCACGGATGCGGGAGAGGCTGCTGGGAACGTGTGGAATAAGGGGTCTGGGTACAGACAGAAGAGCGGCTTCTGCTTAACAATGAAAGCTAGTATTTATATACCCTTACTATGTACCAGCACTGTTCTATGTGTTTTATCTACATTAGAGTTGGGGAAGGGGGTTCTGGGCACAGGTGGAAAAGGGAGCATTGGATAAGGATAGTGAAGGGTGCTGGGGAGAAGGCAGATGAGGACCCCAGAGTTGCTTGGCTGGGAGGACAAGAACACAGGGATTCTCAACCCCAGCCACTTATATCTCTTTAGTTCTGTGTAATAACAACATCTCCGAGGGCGAAGGGCATGTGGAGTCTCCAGATTTAGGGAGCACGGCCAGCCGCACCTTGGGGCTCCTGGACTGCACGTACAGCATCCATGTCTACCCCGGCTACGGCATTGAGATCCAGGTAACTGGACTTATGCATATAATTGAGAAACCTCCAAGCCCTTTCCTCGGGGCCCAGGGGTGTGCACAGCTTTGGCCTGGGAGCCAGAGAACCTGTTTTCTGACTCAGATGGGCCTGTTTTCTGAGGATCTCAAATACTCTCCTAGAGTTCTACAACTCGGCCGATGTCACCATGGTATTTGGGCTGCCATATACAGGGAAAAGGAAGGCAAGGGCAGGGGGCTTACGGGATCACCCACCCTGGCTGACTTGTCCTGACGGGTCTGGGTCTGGCTTCTTTAGGTGCAGACGCTGAACCTGTCTCGAGAGGAGGAACTCCTGGTGCTGGCTGGTGGGGGGTCCCCAGGCCTGGCCCCCCGACTCCTGGCCAACTCTTCCATGCTGGGAGAAGGACAGGTTCTTCGGAGTCCAACCAACAGGCTGCTCTTGCACTTCCAGAGCCCACGGGTCCCAAGGGGCAGTGGCTTCAGGATCCACTACCAGGGTGAGGAGTCTGAGGTGCTGGGGGAAGGACACAGGCCACAATGGGCACAGGGGACATCTCTAGGAGCCTTCCAACCA